AAGAATCTCAAAAGTTGGGGGCACCTGCCCCCCAGGACCTCCCTTGGGTCCGCCCATGTGTGTGGTGATTCAATTTTAATGCTTAGAGATAAACTAATGCTATTTCCATTTTGTGGAGTTATTGATTTCCGTTTTTCCTCTTCTGCATAATTAGTTTGGAATATAGTTTTTGTGCAGCGAAGAAACTAAGTTTTGGTGTGGGACTGCATTGTAGGGTTGTGATGATACTATTATCAAATTAATGACTGGTATAATCAGAAGAAAGAAAAATAGAATGAAGATGAAGAAATGTATGCCGTAACAAATCTCATTAAGACAGATTTCGTTCTCTGCACTGATGTCAATAGGATAATTAGAGTCTATCTCCCGAGATATAATACTCATTCCAAAGTGGATATTGCATTGTACCAATCTTGTCAATCTAACCAAAGTATTGACAATATTTTTCTTGAACGGAATAGACACAAATTAAAAAGAACATAATTTTGAAGAGACCAGAGAAATAGAAATAAGTTATAACTTGAATTGATTTGGTGTAGGAAATATGAAATTAGGTGTCCATATTTATAGATTTTTCAGTGACTTTTCGAATTGTTGCATTTTTAGACACAAATCAGACATTTTTACATTATGTTGTAGATGCACCCTATCAAAAGGTCATGACTTTCATCATGCACATTTTTAAATAGTCACATTCATTAAAAACAACACACTTTTTGTTTACTCTATTTGTAATTGAAAAATTGCAGACTTATTTCAATTCATACTTATAAATAACTCACCAATTCCCCCATAAAACATCACATACTTCAAAGTTGAGATTTAATCCTAAACGACAAAAAGTAAACCAAAAACTAAAAGAAATCGACTTCGAAATACTAACAAAAACATCGTTTCATGGTCAAATAAGTTTATATTTTACACTTTACACCTATATTTCAATGAGGGCTAACTCCAGTTGGTTTCCTTGTTCATCAACTCCATTTAAAAATTTTGGCACGTGAGATTGAGTAAAAGAAAAATAAGTTAAAATCTAATTTAATTTTACTTGCCCAAAAATATATACACCAAACATGGCCTAAAATGTAATCATCCCTACATGGAAGATATTTTGATTTGTGCCCTTCTGGTTTGACACAAATGGAAAATAGATATCTCAGTGGGATTCACACAACACACATTCTATAATTTATAAATAAATTTAATATTGACATTCCATTTCGTACCATTTTTTAAATATTTTATTACCCATATCTCTCACCAAATCTATCACGCTCTTTCAATTCCCCAGAAGAATCAACAGAAAGGCAAAATCCAATGGCTCTAACAACCGCCAATTCCCTCCACCGCCCCTCCGTCACCACCGCCGCCGTGACAAAATCTTCATATCTCAATAAACCCACCTCAATTTCCCCTTACCACACCACTTCCACCCCTCACACCTCCACAAGAGTCAAACCCAAATCCAAGCTCATCTCCGCGGTCAAATCCTCCAACCCACCACCCACCACCACCACTTCGACGCCGAAAAGATGGAGTCTTGACAGCTGGAAATCGAAAACGGCTTTTCAGCTCCCTGAATATCCTGATAAAGATGGCCTTGAAACTGTCCTCCAGACTCTTGAGTCCTTCCCTCCTATTGTGTTCGCCGGTGAGGCTCGCAGCCTTGAGGAAAGGCTTGGCCAGGCCGCGCTGGGCAATGCTTTCCTCCTACAGGGCGGTGATTGTGCCGAGAGTTTCAAGGAATTCAATGCTGTAAACATTAGGGATACTTTCAGAGTCCTCTTGCAGATGGGTGTTGTCCTCATGTTTGGTGGCCAAATGCCTATTATAAAGGTTTCACATTTCCTATTTTTCCCCTTAATATTCTGATTTTAATCTAAAACTGCATTTACTAAAGGAATTAATTGTCTGTGATTTGTGAATGTTATCATGTTTATAGGGGTGATTAAGATTGAACTTTGCTTCAACAGAATCGATTGTAATTTATCATCCAGAAGTGTTTATACATATGAGGTGATTATAATTAAAACTGAAAGTAGAGTTCTGGGTAAGTTTCTGATTTTTCAATTATTATATCCTAAGTTGGTTCAGATGATAATTTGTGCTTCTTTTTATGCAAATTATTTTCATATTTTTATTGGTTGAAATTTAGGATGTTATTTTATCAATGAAGAAGTTTCTGATTCTTTCTGCGCGTTTTTATAAGAATGAGGGATTTGACGTGATGATGCAAGACCATGTTAATGATATATATATGATATGTGGGAAATTGTTTAAAACTGTGGTCTTACACATTCCTTTTTATTTCCATTCACTGATTTTAACTTAGCGTTTGAGATTTTGATGAGATGATGATTGCCTATTAGCGTAGCACTTCCACCTATGCAGGCTTAACCACCCCAGCTCCAACAAAGCAAAGTAACAGAAAAAGGGTTATTAATTTGCATTTTTTAGTATTGCGGAGATTGTTGTGAAGATGTCTATTAAGAGAAATTCTCTTATTTACTGATAATTTAATATTGGATATTGTGAACTTTTTTGCATCTAATGATGATTTTTTGTGCCTTTTCTCTATTATGGAGGTCTGCCTTTTCTCTATTAATGGAGGTCTGCATATATGAGAAAAATGTTTGTCTTTCAGGAATTTTTGTTCTGAACTGCTTTATAAAAGACAGATTTAAAAGGATCAGAATACTAGGTTAGGGTATATATTTTAAGGTGGAAGAATTATGTACTATGTAAGGCAACTGATTTGGTCATTTTTGTTTCTTGCAATTATCTTTCACAATACTTCTCTTAAACAAGCGTACGGACAACGATGGGCACTAGAGACTATACTGGACATGGATTTGCAACTATAAAATTTGTATCCAAGTAAATGTCATAGATGACTGATTGCTGGAATATACATATAGCTGTGGTAGGTGGACAGTGGTTTAAAATCCAATGTGGGACTTTTTATTGAATGGTGTTTCTGCAAGTTCTATAGTTATTGATTTGCTGTTTTTGTTCTATCACTTGTTGGTTAAGCCAACTGTATGAAATGTGAGAGTGGCAATTCACTGATTGTTGTTAAGTATATTGTTTAGGTGGGAAGAATGGCTGGTCAGTTTGCTAAGCCAAGATCTGATCAATTTGAAGAGAAGGATGGCGTGAAGCTGCCAAGTTACCGGGGCGACAATGTGAATGGGGATGCTTTTGATGAGAAATCACGAATCCCTGACCCCCATAGAATGATTAGGGCCTACACCCAATCTGTGGCTACATTGAACCTGCTCAGAGCATTTGCTACCGGAGGGTATGCTGCCATGCAGAGGGTTACCCAGTGGAATCTTGATTTCACTGAGCACAGTGAGCAGGGGGATAAGTATATTATCTAACTAAATTTTTTTTTCGAACTATTTGTTAGCCACCTAGTTCTAATTTTAACT